GGCAAATCAAGAGCACAATTGCAAGGAGAAGGAAGGAGAGAAAGGAGGCCGACTCGCGGGGAGAGAGAGAGAGAGAGAGCGAGAGATGGGCGGGGGGGCGGGGGGGAGGGGAAAGGGGGGAGGGGCGAGTAGGGAAGGAAAGGGGGGAACGTTAAAGAGAGAGTTGGCGCCGAGTGGACTCGGATACGGGCTTCACACATGACACGATCCGACAAACTGGGAGAAGATTCCTGCGTTCATTCTAAACAAACTCTTAGAGGATCAAGTTGGAAGTCTACAGTTTTAAGCATATTTTGTTAAAAGTTAGTTTGCAACGATATGGCAACACCTAGCCAGCCTTGTAGGTTCCTTCACCTCCGCCCGAAAAAAAGCTGCCTGGGAGACCACGAGGAAATCCAACAGGTTACGGTTAGGGGCTAGGCTGACACGTATTTTTAAAAAGTCCTGGAAGGAGGCAGGAAGACAGTTATCTTCCATATTGCTGCCCAGAAAACTAGATGTATATTAGCAATTAAGCTTAACCTTTACAGTATTTTATTACAGAACTACATGGAAGTTAGTTCCAGGAAAAAGGTTGGAGGAGCCCGCTGTTTTCAACCCCATAGAACTAAAGGGGGGAGGCCAGAAGCAATCTTCCTTGGTTGAAATCGGGGTCTCCTCATCAATATGCTCAGTCTTGAGGGATGCTGGGAATTGAAGTCCAACAAAACTGAAGAAACTCAGGTTTCCCACTCCTGGATTAAAATAGCACAGCTTGTGTCTTTTTCTCCAGTCTTTATTAATTGTATTTACAAGTGCACATTTAAAACCAGGTTAAGTTGAATCATTGAAATAATACGTGACTAGAGTCTATGGTTGTGTGGGATATGTTCCTGGATAACTTTGTCATTAAGCTTTTCCCCCCTTTTTTTACAAAAACGGGTATTTTGAACTGATGCTGGATTCTGAAACCCCACAGAAAGTTGGCATAGAAATCCTGCATCAGCTACAGCTGGCTGTAGGTGAACTGATGGCCCTCCAGAGGTTGATAAACCGCAATCCCAGCTTCCCTTAACACTGAATGTGTTGACAAAGTCTGCTGAATTCTAGTACGCAAACTTTGGAGTTCCTTTATGTCTCACCTTTGGTGTGTTCTTCCAAGGCTTCTTTAAGATTTGGGTAATCAAGTCATGAAGTTCTGGGTTCCAGGTACTGTTGTAATATTTGCAAGACTCTTCTGAAAAGTAATGTAGTAATGTATGGCTGTGAGAAAGTAGTAATGTATGGCTGTGAGAGCTGGACCATAAAGAAGGCTGAGCGCCGAAGAATTGATGCCTTTGAACTGTGGTGCTGGAGAAGACTCTTGAGAGTCCCCTGG